TTAATAAATATTTATTTGAACACAGTGGCGCCAAATCCTATTTGGGTGAGTGGTGGTAGTAATCGTAAACCAGTATTAATAAGTTATTTTTTTTTCTTCAATTTTGGACTTTAAAATAATAATAGTTGGTTTGATTATAAAGTATAATGTATAATAAATAATAATTGTATAAAATGGTATATTTAATAATATCAATCTACATACAAACATTATACACTCGTGTAATATATTATGTATAGTTAATACTCTGTAATCTTCATGGTATTACTTACGCATAATGCAATAATATTACTCTAAATACATGAAAATTGCATTGTTAGTTATTGAGTCAAATCAAATTATTTTATTTTATTCAACATGCCATAATGTATTTACCAAATTGATAAAAATAAATAACAAAGATATGTATAAAGGAGTATAAGGAATAAAGCGTACGAGATGTAAAAAAAATAATATATTATATGTAATTATATGTAATATTTTATTTAAAATGTATAATTTTATGATATAACTTGAAATAAACCCTCAACAACACTGTATTTATTTAAATGAAATAGAAAATTATAATAAATTATACTAAAAAAAAAAAAAACATTCTTATATGAATAAAACAAATTCCAACACATTTTAAATTATAAATGAATATACTATTGACTATACAGCATAACAAACTTGATTAGACATTCTAGGTACTTATAAACATTGTAACGGGAATGTATTATTTCATAATAATAAGAATTATTACACAATAATGACGTTGAAATTAAATAGTGGTTATCAACATACCAAACAATAAAGAATTATTCTTAATAGCAAAATATATTATATTATCATTGCGCAGAAAACTATTTGAATAAAATATTGTAATTATATGATGCCTTTAATAATAATCTTATTTCACCGTTATATTCAAAATCAACTATCGTCTCAATTTTTATTTTCATGAAAGTCAACAAATTATTGATATTCAAATAAAATCAATTAATGATTAGCCAATAATGATTAATAACTACAAGTATTTTTTACGTAACGCATTTAATATATTCACATTTCTGTCGTTACACTTATAAACTTTGTTCATGTAAAAAGTTAGAAAATACATTGTTAATATGATTTCTAAATTTTTTGCACGTAGTTAAAACCTATATTAAGTTATATATAACTTAATTAAGTAACTCTATTATTTTAATAATAAATCGATTTATAAATGACTTATATAAAGAAATATAAAGACATTTTTCAAACCATCAAGTTTAATTTCAAATCTTATATTCAGAATTAAACTAATGTATCTATTTATTATTCTGAGACCTTTAAACAACATGCCTAATATATCTATTGTTGGTTTGAAAATAGTATAAAATTATAATTTATTACCCTAAAAATAAAATAAACTATTTTAAATTTTAATAATATAATAAATTGAATTTATATTTAAATCGAACTTTAAGTGTAAAAAACATAAATATAAATTCAAATTTTGAAACGAATACTTTTCTGGGCATATACTCACATGTTATTATGTAAATTATTATGTATTTATAATTCAGCTCAATAAATAAATACTATTCTAAAAATAAAATACTGTGAAACTTCTATATTACGATTTACTAATTCTTAATGGGAAAAAAAAATCTTAATTTAGAGAAATTCGACTGTGGTCCTCAAAATATTTCATTTAACAGAAAATGTATTTAATATTAATGTAGAATTTAAAACTGAACAATATGAAAATAAAACCATTTAAAATATTTAACAAAAACAGTATTTAAGTTATTTACAAGTAAATATCTCGTAGAAACTTTCTATGTGAACACAAAATGCGAATATTGCGCGCATTTTACTTGTGAAATATTAATAATTATAAAACAAAAGATCAAAATTATTTGATATTACAGTAAAAAAAATTAAGAGAATCTAATAAGATTTAATTTTATATCTAGAAATTTATTGAAGTGAAATAGTTTCTTAGTAATAATTTAATAATAATTTAGTTTTGTTTCTTCAAATATATTATTTTACAATTTAAATATATATTATATATTTATAAGTTTATAACGTATATTATGTATGTACACTGTTCAAACTTTTATACTATAAAAATTCTATAAATACTTAGTAAATTATTATGAATGATCGTAGTAAATGTATAGTAAAAATAAAAAAAAATAAAAATAAAGAAAATATACATGTGAACATATATAAACAGATTAAAGATTTTATGGATTTAAAAAACTTTAGTATTATTTCCTTTACGATTAAGTATAAAAAAAATAATAATAAAAGATATATTATCAATTCATAAATTTTAAAGTTTAGAATTGTAACTGATTATATTTAATAAGACGTAATTAAACATAATACGAACCGACAGCTATAAAATATTTAAACTTCTTGTGTATGTAAATAACATTAATTAAGTACTGATTTTTGGATTTTGTAGGAATTTATTTTTTTTCTGTCAGTTTAATTTTAGAAATTAATTTAATTCGTATTACACAAAATAAAAAAAATACTTAATTTTGTTAAAATATCTAATTTATTTGATAAATAATTCAACGATAATGTGTCTTACAATTTTATCAGGTAACATAAAATTAAAGTTTATAAACAGCAAAGTAAATGGGGTTATTCAACATTTTTTTTTTTTACGACTATTACTCATTCGACAAGTACTATATTATTATACCTATAATATATATCTACCTTATATGTAAGTATCAATTTAAAACCCTATTTGTCACAGAATATTCAGAAGAATGATTCTAAAACGAGCAATGCAATGGAGTCTATTGGCCACATTTCAAGAGAATAATTAATCAAATCGAATGAATATATTTGATATGTAATGTGATATATCACCATTTGTCAAAAGGATAGGTTTGAACTGGAGTGAAGGGGATTGGTTATACGACTACGGTATACATCTTATTTTTAAAATTGTTAGCGTTCAATTTACTCCTTTTAAATTAAATACAAGTCATCATGATTCTACTGGAACTTTTTTTTCAATTAATGCATTAAACACGAAATACAGAAATAACAATAAATATATGTTGTAAAAGTAAAAATAAGATAGAATATTCAAATATTGGAACTGAGGTGAATACATAATCGAAATGTCATTCGACACACTCACAGCTATACAGGCATTTCACCGTGTATGCTCACTCTTATTTTTTCCCCTTTAATAATGAATTTATTAAAATTTGATTCTTAGAGTATACTTAGATACCTACCGTGTTTTAATTATTTATATTTTTTATACTATTAAGAGGTGAACTATAACGATAAAAAATTTTGTTTTTGCAATTTATAACCAACCAATTTTTATAGAAAATTATTAAACAGATGTATTTTTTTTAAATTTTAATATATATATATATAAATCATAATTATTCAATTGAGTAGTTAGAATTTTGAATTATTACAATTGTATGCACTAGAAATAATAGTCCACAAAGATAATTTTACATGAGTATAAAATTTTTTAATTATTTAATCTAGCATTTATCATATCCTGACAATTTTCAAAAATTATAAAATTATCAAAGCCCCCATAGCATCTAAACCAGCGGTTCCCAACCTGGGGGTAATTACCCCCTAGTGGGTAAAAACACGATTTTTTGGAGGGTAAAAGTTAAACTATTTATTTGTATTTTAAGTACTTATTATTCATTTACTCATGTGTATTATGACTGTAAATGAAATTGTAATAATATAATATTTTTGTTAATAGTGTTAATAGTTTTGAGAACTCTTATTTTCTTTGTTTGCAAAAATTAAATAAATTATAATTATCATCATAATATATATTTTGTTTTTTTTTTACTCAACTTTTTTTTTTTTGGTCGGGGGTATTTGTGAATATCTAACCTGACTTTTGGGTAGTAGTCTCAAAAAGGTTGGGAACCGCTGATCTAAACTCATTACCATGGAAGACTTATCCTTTGTACACAAAGTTAAATAACTAAAAAACTACGTGTTAGAATTCTAATTTTTATACACCAAAATTAAAATTATCAAAGAGGTCATTTACTAAATAATTTACAGAAAAAAATAAAATTTTTATTTGAAAAAAAAATTGATACCACCACAAGATATTTCATAAGTTTTTTTTTAAAAAAACTTAATATTTTATGATATAATTTTTAAATATACTTAAAATTTTTAAAACACAATATTCGAATAAATTCTTCATCGAAAGAAAAATAGGGGTGAGCATACTTGGTGAATTATCCTGTAAATTATTATTACACCAGATGTTTAATAATAATCGAGTTATGTGAACATAATAAATTATGTAAGTAATATAATCAATAATACTCAAGTGATTTGAAAGACGTAACATCTCTATCAAATTTTACTACTTTCCATTATTTTCTCTCAAGGGCCAAGGTCCCAGAAAATAAAGTAGAATCTTTTATTCAATACTTTATTAGGGTTACCTATTTATATTTTTACCATACCTACACTTTGTAAAATACAGAACTGCAAAATAAAATAATATAGATTTCTGAAGAAAACTAAACCTGTAATTCTACGGTTGTTTGAACGATAACTCGTTGCTGGGTGCACATATTATAAACGATTATATTAACATTATTTGAAGAATAATATTCGTTTAAATTATTAAATACATTTTAGAAATAAAAACCATCTTTTAATATTAATAAACAATATCATACATACAATCTTAAGTATACAATTTATATGTTTATGTACATAGTAATTAAACTCATTATATTGAAATATATTTTTAAAATTATTTATTTAAAATAAATGTTATTGTTAAAGCTCACTCGATTTTATTTTATTAATTTAAATCTCTTATTGCAAATAAATCGAAAACAGAAAACCTATAATAGCAAAATGTTAAACCAATAATATCCTTATTAGCGCCCTCCTATCTACCAAAACTGAATCTGCTTTAATAGCACCACTACATATCCAAAATCTGGTATTATAATGTATTATAAATTATTTTTATTTTGTTTCAGACGATGACGATCATATTGTTGTCTAGCAGTTGACAGCCAGATTTTTAATAATTATGGACGACGGCAGTGATATGGTCAACGATACATCTAACAGCACGCTACTTGTAGACGAATATGACTACTCGGAGCGACCGGAAACGTACATCGTTCCAATACTTTTCGCGTTCATATTTTTCGTGGGTACCGTCGGAAATGGGTCTCTGGTATTGATATTCATCCGACACAGAAACATGATAAACGTGCCAAATATATACATATTCAGCCTTGCACTGGGTGATTTACTGGTTTTGCTGAGCTGCATACCTTTCACGTCTACTGTCTACACGGTGTGTTATCAATATCTGCTATTAAAGTTTTTAAGTTTTAACATAATAACAACATAAGAAAAAAAAACGATTTTCCAAAGTGTGTAAAAGTGCTTGCATTGATCTCACGATTATCCCGTACCCACGTATGTGCACAAATTGTTTTTACAAATACTTGAAAAAAGGGTATCAATATACAGTAACGTCTTTATTACATAATGTCAATATCGAAAAAGCATTTAAATACAGATTGCGTATATATTCCACAATCAGTATCTATTCACAATAGCTGGTATAAAAAATTATGCGATTGTGCTTAAAACAATAATAATTATCGATAGTAAATTTGATTGTTTAAACGTTTGCTAATAGTCCAATAGTAGTTATTTGGCTATTATTTAAGTCTGATTGAAGCAAATGAGACTATACAGATCGAAATGCAATGTTTCAGTTTACTATAATATATATATATTATATTTAAATTCTAATTAAACACCCAGTTCATGCATACAATTACTAAATAAATTACAACATATCAATAAAGTTTCAAAAATAAATTTTGTTTTAAAAATAATAATAGCTTTTGAATCATAGACTTTTATTTAAAATTCTCTAAGTAATGAAGTTTACAAAGTAACTAGTATTTGAATTCACAAAATTAGATTAAATTAATTTTACTTGCATCCATATTTTGTTTGACTATTTATTTTTTTTAACTGAAATCATGAAATTAAATTAATATTTATAACAATACAAGCAAAAAAATTATTTAATAAATTTAAAAATAATAATTATCAATATACGTATAAAATTAGTATAGAACTTTAATAGTTAATAATACAAATTAAAAAAAAAAAAAACACTAATTATTATTCACATTAAATTAGTTATGATCATTAAATAAATTAGTATGTATCAATAGATTTTTGATTTTTATTAAAATGATTTTAATTGATTTAAATTAAAATACTGAATAATGAAAACTGTAAATTTAACGACTTTTTAATTGGTTAATTAGGAATAATTAAAATTGTATGTTTCAAATATTTAAAATTCAAAACAGTTAAAAAGAAATATTCAATATTATATTGTAGATAACCTGGAAATAGTTTCGTGAAAATAAAAACCACTTATATTTTATTTATTTATTTGAACTATGTTACACAATTAGTTTTGACAACTAAAATACATAGTGTTAAAAAAAAATTTAAAATTATAATTATAAATAAAAAGAGAGAAATCATAAAATGTATAAATTAAATTATACATTATTATATAAAAATTAATTAATTAACTAAGTTAAATTATATAAACTGTATAGTTGAATAAATATATGATAAGTATAACATTTTTTTGTTTTTGAGATAGGAAAATATTTTAAATATCATAAGGGATATTGAAAGTTTTAAAAGAGGACAATATTTGGGCGCATTGTAGTGTTATTTTAGAGCAGTATTTTAAACCTATCTCACATTGATTCTTACGTATAAATTAATTGTTTTAAATAATAATTTTTTTCATAATATATCACTTTCTATCGTAATTAAAACAAGACAATTTGTTATTATATTTTGTTTGACTTGTTTTTATAAATATATTACACGGCGCAATGTACAGGCAAAATAGGTACACACGTGCAAGAAATAGTGTTATTATATGTGTATAAAAAAATACATTTCTGAACATTTAATTATTAACACAATATAGTATTATCTTAAAATTTGCATAATTCACATAAATAATATTTTTTTTTTTTACAATATTGTACATTTATATTATAATATAATTTTAATTGGATAAAAAAATCAAACGATATCGACTAATAATATTGTAGATCGCTTAATAATATTATACCTAATAAAATTTCCTTCCCTGAAATGCATAATTTAATCATCTACATTATATAATCCCTAATTAATTAACTGGAATTAGTATAAAATATGATAAAATATTACTTTCAATTGATTAGCTTTGAATTTTTAGCTGGGATTTTATAATTATAATAATACACCGTTTTGACGTTTTAGCTGTGCCTTTTTATTAGCTACAGTTGTACTTAGGAAAATATTCTTCGGCCGACATTACATTTTCGGACTGATGTTTTTTATTACCAATCATTAAAGCTAAAACCAAAACATAGACATTTTTTCAACATACATTTAATACTAAATGAGATAAGATATTTGATTTGCGTATTTTTCGTTTTAATTTTAAATAAAGTATTTTTTGTCTTTTATATTTAACGATACTCGAATTTAAGATTTGAAAGATATATTATTCTTTTTTATATTAATCCATTTATTTAAACCACGATGATTGATAAAATAAACAATTTTTAATTAAATAGTTTTAATCAGGATTTAGCACAATCGTTTAATTTATATTTACATTAAACAGTAATATCAAAAAGTCTCTTATAGGCGCAGCATACAAAATAGATTAAATTATGATAACCCATTGAATTTCTTTTAGTAAAAGAATTCTTTATATTGCAAGACAATATATTATTTTACTTTTTTATTTATTTTTATATAACTGAATATTCGAATGCAATATTTATTAATACAAAATTAAAATTAAATAATCAGCGAAGATTCTTTGTAATTCAATGTATAAAACAAAGCATACATAATAAAATAAATTGCTAATTACTATTACATTTATACGAATATACAATTATTTTTAGAATTATTAATTAAACGATAAATTTAAGACGCCATATCTGTTTGACAAATTGCCAAGAGGTTCTTATTAATTTATTCCCATTTATATTTCAAATACCATTCGGCGAAAATATAATTGCATTAAGAAATTATAAAAGTAGGCAGCTCTACATATTTTTAATTGATACATTTCAAAAGTATTTTTATCTATAAAATATTTGGTCCCTTTTAATATTTTCAAATAGGCAATCAATAATAGTATTATTTCTACCAATACATTTTTGAGTATAATATTCGGCCTTATTCATTATATTAACAGTAAAAATGTAAACCTATTATTTATTAAGTCATTTAAAAATTAAGTAATCATAATAACTTTATTGTATGGTACATACAATTGTTTTATTTATAAATTTATAAACACAAGAAAGAAATCACATTTCATATATTTTATGAATTATCACAGCTGTTCATAATTTATTACACCAAAATAATAAATTTCTAAAATTTAATATTTTCAACGAGTATGAATAAACGTATTTGTTTAGTGTAGTAGTTACCTACTGGTTTGCTATCACCAGGGGTGTCTGAATAATTTATTCCCACACTATTCAAGTGTGTTGTTAGTTGTTACATTCCACTGTATATTATGGTATTTACTATTTAATATTTAAAGTATTATAATTCATTATACAAACAGTCCACGTCCTCGTAAAATGTTTTTATAAGTTACTATATTATATACTACATTTACTATACTAAGTATTATAAATATTTACAATTTAATTTTAATACATATGACTTTAAACCACTAATAAAACTAGGTATTTTTTCGTCCGCTGTTTTTCGTAAATCGTAATTTTTTTGAAATTTTATGTTTATCATATCATGAATTTTACAAATTTTTTCTCGAGTGTCTGATAAAAATTTAGAACTAAAAATCAAATTTAAACACTTTAGAAAAAAATAGCTATCAAGATTAAAAAATTGCTCATACTATTCTTTATAAATGGACATTAACTAATTTTAAATGAATAAAAAAAAAAATAGCATTTTTAAAGAAAAAAATATTAGAGCTAATAATTTTGGCTTAAGATTTAATATTATCAATAGCTTAAATATTTTGATTTTAATTTTAATACTATTGCGCTCACAAAATTACTTACTTACACTAGGGAAAAAAACTAAGGATTCGATATTGAAAAAACTACTTGTGTGATGTTGGTGAATAGAGAACAAAAGCAATCATCGTAGATTGTCCTAATTTAATTGTAAAATTAAATGAAAGTCTTTTTGTATCCAAAAAAAAAATATCGCAGGGCATTCAATCACAACAATAGACGTTAAATTGTATATATCGTTATTCATTACACCATAGAATATTTCGTTGTGAAGAGCGTTCACTATAATATCAATCATTAACCACTATAATAATAGATCAGATTCCACAATGTTCTATGTCAGTTGGAAAGCTTATACGATATCGTTGATCCCAACGCAAGCACAAAGTGTTGTAAAAATAATATAAAACTTAGCTGGGGTAACAAAAAACGTTATTCGCGAAGTACCTACAGATCTTTCATATAACTCTTAGAATCTTGTATGGCGGAGTTTATGCAGTGATCAAAATTAAATGATAATAATATATTTAAAAAATTTTTTGATGTGTAGTAGATTATTTCTAATCATCTATAGTATAACATTTTTACTACTTTATATAAAAAAAAAAAGGTTTTGCAGATAAATAGAATAGCAATAGAAATAATGTGTTGTTGTACTAATAAATAATCTGTTAATTCATTGTAAAATGATAGAAAAATGATATTTTTTAGAAACCTACGCGATTTGATAATAAATCAGTAGATAGATACTGTATACAATTCATATAACTATTTAAATTGTATATTATATATGTAAAAAAATATATTTTGAATGAGTTTTAATAAGGACTCATAAAATATGAAACAAATATAGTAATATGCTTAAAATTAAATAATTTATAAAATTGTTGTAAAAAAAAAAAATTAAATAGAGGTGAAATTACAATACGTTTTTATAATTTTATATTTTTCAATTGCCTATTTATAAATTATAATTGAATAAAAATACTGTATAAAAATAACGATTCAAAATGACAAATTATATTTTACATTTATGTCAATGTTATTAAAAAATTAAATGAGTAAACTTTTTGTACAAAACAGAACCAAATGAAAAGCTACATCTATAAATTATTATTCAACTTTCAACATAGTAAGAAAACGACTTAAGGGTTATTTTAATTTTTTGATATTATGATGCAAAGTTTTGAAATTCATTAAATTCGTATTTTTCAAACTTAAATAACTCATAAATACAATTAACATTGGAGATAAATTAAAATTACATAGCAGCTACACAATCTAAGTTTTCTCGACTTTGTAATTAGAATTTGTCGATTTAAAGGTTTTTGGTTGTAGTACGTATATTAAAAGTTTATGACCATATCGGTGGTCACCTGCGTAAATTATACATGTGGTGTCATTCACCTATCGTACATCTATCATAATTCATAACACTTGTCGCCAATAAGACATAATGAATGACGTTTTTAATTTTCTCTTATGGATATTTATTTTTTAACATCCCCAAATAAAAACATATATGTAAAAAATATTTAAATGACTATAATGATATCAATAAATTAATGCAATTTTAAACCGTTTGTGTTTCTTACGAAATAGGCCTATTTCATATAAATAATTATACTGACTGCACTAATCACCGTAGAAGACCTTTAAAATGAATTAATCGTATCATTTTTTTTTTTTTAATTAGATTCTTACATTTTTTAAATTTAACCCTTGGTAATCCTAATACTTTTTAAAATTTTTAAATTTTAAATACCAACAATTTTGAAATATAAATAGTAATAAAGTATAATAAATAAATAATTTTTAAGTGTAAATAAGTTATTTAAAAAAAAAAAAAAAACAATAATGGCAGATTCAAAAATTGTACTGGATAAATATAGGTTAGCTAATACAATAGGAAAAGGATTTATACTTCTGATAATAATATACAAAATAATGAGGAATAATAAACTCCTACAAATGTAATGTGATTTCCTACATAGACATAGTGCTAACTTTTACAAAATATAGTGTTAACTCCTTCAAAAGATGATAAAAAAGAATACCGCTTGTATCACTGTAAAAATATATCAGTTTTGCAATACATTAATATATAATATTATACAAAAGTACAAATTTAAAAGTTAAAACAAAAATTGTTTGATAATTTTAAAAATTTAATTAAACAATAGTCATAACTCATAATCATTTACGTTTATTTTTATGAAATACTTTGAAGATAAACTCTAAACGTGAAATTTCTCCGTGTATATATTTAATTTTTTGCATAAGTATAAATTCATATTTTTAAATTTTTTTTGTTTCGATACCATACTAATTACTATCGCTGATCTATTAACATATTGTACTGCAAATTCCAATATGAACTTATAATATAAATATAACTAGTCTTCAAGAATCATCATACATCGTATAAACACGCTCTATTTAAGTGTTTGTATTTTATGTATTTATTATTTACAAGTTATGATAATTTTTAATTTTTTGAGCTTTTCAATTGCAAAATTGTGAATTCAAATTATATTATCCTACTTTTTTCGGTTAAATGTCCATGTAGGAGATTGCAGTATTAATGTAGGAGTTTATATTTAATGATGATTTAGGTAAAAAGGTTATTTGTGTAAGAGTTTATATTTGACCAAAATAATTTATAGTCATGTAGTGCGTTATCGATATGTGAGCTTGTTATAGCGTTCTGCTTTACCTTGTACACACTAATGATCACTATTTGCTATACACACGTAATTAAACTCGATCCGTAATCCATAAAACACGCATTTAGAAAATGTTTTATATTGAACTCTTTAAAAGCGATTGGTATTGAATATTGAATCCTCTTTAAGGAAAACATAGCTTGACTGAATCTGTCTATAAATGAAAATGTCAATTATTTCCAGATACATTATGTATATAGACGTGCCGTCACAAACTTTCTAAACTACAGGAGCACATATTAACCAAATTTACCCACCCACTGAGTCATATTTTCAAAACAGTATTTATATTAAATTCTTTTAAAATAATAATCTAACTTATAATTATAATAACTATATTGATATTATCAAATTAGAACACATGGTATCAACACAGTATTTAGAAAAATTAACTCACCCACAATCACCCACTGCAAAAATTGAAGACCAGATTTCCCAAAAACAGTTTTCTCTTGACACCATTGACTTAGATAATATAATAATTTTCCAAAACTAAGTCTGGGGAATACAGACCTTTCCAACAGAGTTATCTATTTTACGTAAGATTCTAATAATTTCAGAAAATACCTACGCTTTTGAAAATATTTCTTTAACATAATATTCTAAATCGTCACAATATAACGTTTTTTGGAAAAAAACTTACATTTTTTAAGATTTTCACCCTTTAGAACAACACCAAACATTTTGATTTCATTCTCTGGAACAGAATATTTTTCAAAGTATTTCGTACCATGAAAATCAAATTTTGGATAATTTAACTTGCTGTAGTAATTACAAGTATTTAAAGTGTTTGCGAGCGGAACGTAGTGGTATAGGGTTAATCCCACGAAACGTCGGCGGTTTACTACGCTCCGCTCGTCTAAACGTTAAATACTTATAACCATTTAACTACTTGACCGAAATTTTCTGAGAGACGCTTTTGCTCTACTTTACCATGCTTACGAAAACTTTCAATGTAATACAAATTATTATTCATCATATAAGCCACTTGTATAAAAATTCTATTTCTATACATCCGCGAGCACTCAGAAGAAACGTTCTGCTTTGGGCTAATGAATTAAACATGCGCGTAGTCATTTGAATAACATTGATCAGACGTTGTCATTAACGACGACATAAAGCGATGGGTTTCCTCAATGGCCTAAGTTGACGCGAGTTAACCAAAAAAAAAAAAAAAAAAGTGATGGTAAAAGAATAAAAAAACAAAAATATTTACGTAGTACCTAGTTTTCTTACAATATGACACGTGTGTGCATTATGCGCTCGCTCGGTAATTTTAATAATATAACATAGGATAATCATACTCTCGTTTAAAACAGGTGTAACGGTTATTACATAATTTCATAACTATAATTTACATTAGGCACATTAGATCAATTTAGTAAATACATATATTTTATATATAAGCACAACGTGTATAATATTCTGACTAGATATTAAACCCCTCTGCTTTTTCCCACACGGGTTATTGTAAGGCTATAGCCAAATTCGCATATGTGAGAGAACGGCAGTCCTCCGCGATTACCATCACACGCACCCGAACTCCCAAATAGCGCTATATTTTGTTGAACTGTGTTGGTAAGTTATATATTATTATATTATATGTTAATTATTATTAAACCAATCTGCAATTATTTGTAATATTAAGATTCTCAATAGTTTTCGTGCTCCTGAGCTACGGTTATTAATAATAACTTATTACATATTCAAAAAAAACAAACTTCTTCCCTGAATTAATTAAACAAGTCATCCTCAACCACGTTACACAAGATTGTCTTTTTTTTTTATCATCGTGTCCCGTTTTCCCGACAAACTCCAAACGGGACGCTTTTCATCCTGTTTTTAAAAGATTATATCGTCTTAATCCCGTTATTTCCATATATTATTAAATAATGTTTGTAAAAAAAAAAAAAAATATATATCAATCTATCAAAAAAATATAAAATAATTTTAAAAAGAGCAACATATTATTATAATTATTATTCTATCATTTTAATAAACTGTAGCTTGGATGTAATTGGAAAGAATAAAAATATATCATTAAATCAATAAAAAATCATTTGCCCCGTTTTTTTATTTTCATAAAAATGGCCCCCTAACATAACAACAACAACAACAACAACAACAACAACAACAACAACAACATTATACTTTTCATCTGTGTACGTGTTAACCTGACCATCGTGTCGCCGGTGTGTCCCGCAGGTGCCATCGTGGCCGTTCGGGCTGACCATCTGCAAGGTGTCCGAAACGACCAAGGACATATCGATCGGCGTGACCGTGTTCACGCTGACCGCCCTCAGCGCCGACCGGTTCTTCGCCATCGTGGACCCCATGCGCAAGCTGCACGCGTCTGTGGGCGGCCGCCGGGCCACCAAGTTCACCGTCACCGTGGCCGTGACCATATGGTGCCTGGCGGTGGCGTGCGCCGTGCCCGCGGCCACCAACTCGTACGTCCGGCAGTTCCGGCAGAACAACGTAACGCTGTTCGAGGTGTGCTACCCGTACGCCGAGGAGATGGGGCCCGGCTACCCGCGGCTGGTCGTCGTCATCCGGTTCCTGGTCTACTACGTGGTGCCGCTGTCCGCCATCGCGTGTTTCTACGCCATGATGGCCCGGCACCTGATCCACAGCACTAGGAACATGCCCGGCGAGGTCCAGGTGAGTGATGGGCCGCCGTCCGGCGGTCGTTATTCCGGTTTCGGCGAGGCTAGAGCTAACCAGCGACGGCGCGAGCGGCCCGACGACGAACGGACGGAAACGTTTCAAATCGGCCGCAGTGCGATCCGCGAAATACGAGAAACGTGTCGCCAACCATCCCGTCGCCGCCGCCATGACCCTGGCGATCCCGCGACCTTAACGATTATGCCCGTGGGAAACGCGTGACGTCGCTCTCCCGTCTACGATTCGATCGCACCCATTAACTCTATACACCGCTCTTCCCCTGAAAATTTTCATCCGACGACCTTTACATCTCCACACACTCCGCAGTGACTGGGTTCGATATTATTTTACTCTTCACACGTTTAATATGTCTTCTTCTTTTTCTTTTTTTTTTCACTGTAAAAATATGATTTAAATTTTTTTTTGTAACGCGATCCATTTTTTGCCCAAACTGCTTTCAACACGATTCCTCAACTATCGAAACTCACGGGTCGATCGAAGTCGACCGGACGGTAGGCGTTCGTATGATTGAAGCACGGTTAACCGCGTTCGCTTTTCCGGTTTTCACTGTTAAATGTCGCAAATCAATGTGTAAGTGAGAATTTCGCTGTGAACGATTTTATTAGATTACTGTAATTATTTGTCATCAATAAATGGTGAGTACATCATTCGGTCAAAACGTATTATGAATTAAAAATTAAGGTATAAATCATTAAAATTAAAAAAGTACATACATTATATAAATATAGTTGTATAGAACGAGCGCGCCGCTCACTTTATCGGAACTGACAAGTTTAATCGATCGTCATTTAAACACAGGACTATGAATCGGGTTTTTTATCCATAGACAAATATCCAGATAACATAACATGAAATTTATACGTAGTTTTCAATTATTTAAAAATTAAATTGAATCCAATGGTGGCTAAAATATTAATACGAGTAGAATGAAAGCAGCGCTCATACGCGCCTCCCGACGTGTGAAAATAATAATAATAATAAACGCAAAAACGATTAAACACGTAAGTTTACGTTTATAGGTACACCGCGGTACACGTAAAAATAAGTAAAATTATATAATATGGGTAGCCAGCAAGAAAATATAAAAAATATGTAAAAACCAAATGCGAAATAAACTGTCACGGGACGCCTGGCCGATTTGAAACATTGGAATTGATAGTTATCAAAATGTAAACCAATAAATAAATAAAAACTGAGTTTCGTTGGTAGGAAATTCGACTTGTCTTTCTTATCATAATTCAATGTGTTTACACAGTGTACATATTATATTAGGAAAAAGTAAGTAATTACGAGCGGTGATCGTATAATTGATAATAACTAATACACACATGAAAACGTTACGTATGAAAACATATCCCACGGTGAGGTTAGACTACAATTACTGATAGACGCCGCAACATCAGTGAGCAAAAGCAACGGCAGGGAGGAGACTTGACGAAATCGTGCAGTCATGCATCAGTTGTACTCGCTAGGCGGGCCAATAAATGTTTCACATCGAAAACATGTTAATTTTCCTGATTTCTATAGTTATCGATAAAATATCGGGTGTAACTGAATGATTTTCGTTTTGTCCAAAAGTTGTGCGACTTACACTAAAGCTTAAATTGCAGTTTGGCCACTTCCTCTATTAAAACACGTAAATCATCGAATTTAATTTTTTTTTAAATGAATTAATCAATATAATGTAAAAATGTTATACGGAAACTAACCTTTATTAGATTTTAAAATAATTTTTTTATTGCGAAGGCCACAGTGTAGCGATACATTTTAAAATAATTTAAAACGGATTTTGGATTTGGACTTAGAAATAAACTAGGTCAATACAAAACCAAAAAAATGTTGATTGATTCTCGCCCACATTGCTTAAATCACAAAATGTTATACGTACTATACTGTAATTGGATATCGGTGATAGGTTAGGTTGATTGAAAAATTCTACAGCAGTATCACTCAGTATTACGACAAAAAAAGCGTTTCGCTTACACTTACGAGTAGACTTATAATAATACTTTCCTTTTCTCTCTCTCTTCATAGTGCCTTATTATGATCAACATTATTTTTTAACCACCAAATTACGAAAATGTGTTTAAATTAATAATTATTTTAACAAATATCATTCATGGCATTATTTTTTAGGGTAGAAGAAAGTAATTGCGATCGATTTTATCGATATTTTTTATAAAATATGCCAAAAACTTCTATTCAAATTTAATTTTTTTTGTACGTGCATACAAAATCTCAACACATATGTTTAGCGAATCAATATATATTATTACGACTTTATTAGGTAATATTTATCAAGGTGGTTGATATCAGCTACTGAAATTTAAAAAATATACTCAATATTATGTAAAAATATACAAAATAGAATTTTACGTAAAAAAAAAAATACGTGATTTTATTTTACGACGAAACTCATATATATGAAACAACAGCCTGTGTTGTAATAGATATAACAGTAATAGAGGCTTCTTATAAGCATCGTTGGCAATTTATTTTGATAACGTGTATTATTTTTAAATGGCATAACAGTGATCGTTTTTTAAATAGATTCAATAAAATAATAACAAAAATAATTATATAATTATATAATAAAGATTTTGACAATCTATTATAAATAATAATATATAAGGACTAAGATTAATTGTTACTAACCTCGTGTCATGTAATTAACACAATAATAATATGAACTGAGACAATCTTACCATATTCAATATATTTTCTAGAAAAGAAAATTCTCAGTTTTTTTTTAACAATCAATTATTTTTAAACAGTTGAAAATAATTTATCGTATTTAATTCGTTATCTTTTGATAAGGATTGCTTATTGTATTTTTAAAATTATACATATGATGTATAATAATTTTTTATATTTATATAATATTGTTAAATTTTTATTAGAATCGGCTTTGATTCTGGTTTAAAATCAATTTATTGTGATATAATTGTGATCAATTTATATTTAGATCAACTGCGTATCAAACAAATTATTAATGCCCATATATATATATAAAAAAAAAAAAAAAAAAAAAAACAAAAATTCAAGAATATGTTTAGTACACTTATCATTTTTTCAGAAATTATATTATATTTTAAGTAATCATAAATGTATAACCATAATAAATTAACTTATTCTGATTTTAAATCAGAATCAAAACAGATTCTAATAAAAATTTTATAATTGTATCATATTAATTTTAAATATACTCATAATATAGTAATATGAATTGCATAATTTTAAATTTTGAGTAAATAGTCTAGTTTATATAAATTGATCAGGTAAAGTTAACAAAACTTATAGAAATAACTCGAAAAATGTATAGAACGAAAACGCATGGATGAAAAGTGCACATCGCTTTTAACTATCGTTATTGCACAATACTTCTTTCAATTTTTAACGATTTAACTCAGTAATAATTCAGTCTATATTATTGTCATGAATGAACATTTTTTTTAAACGAATTGTCTGCTATTAAAGATACGATGTATTAAGCTTATATTGTTCAACAGAAATGTTGTATAAATTAATATCTTTTTTTTTTTTATTATTAATAAATTTATAATCTGTTTCCGCTCAGGTTATAATTTAATAAAATAAAAAATAAAAATTCCAGTGAACTGTATATATAATAATTGATGACTTATTTATTATTAAATTAATATTGAAATAACACAATTAAAATGGTTGTTCTTAGGTGCCATCAATATAATATAATAATAATACGACGCGCATTATTGACAATGTTTCCGACGAGTCGTCAAGATTGGACTAGAGACCTGTGCCTTATTGCTTATTAGATATTACACAACTCAGGGCGATATAATAAATGCTATCTGCACGATAATTATGCCGATTGATAATATTTTATAGTTTATACATTTAACACAATCTGTGTAAAAAAAAAAAAATAAATAAAATAAGTATATAATATGGAAAAAATATGTACAACAAAATAGTATATTAATGACAGTAAAATATATAATTCAGCGATAAAACCCTTCAGAAAATTTTTTGTACACAATATATTTTTTTGTAATTAACTTATTCGAACATTTTTTTTCTCATAGATACCTGTGCCAAGAATTTTATGACGTTATACAACAGTGGAGACGACCGCTTGTTGTAGTTTTAACAACGTGTTTTTATTCGACTAAGAGTGACAAATTATTTGTTGCGATTTACGAGTGTAGTATTCATTTGCCTCACCCCAATTATATTTTTGCTAGCGCTGAGTTTTGTCACTCTAGAGAAACTATTATTGAAGAGGAACGTATAAATTTACTGACGTATAATCTATACGTTATCAATTTTACGACAGTTATTTGATCCAGTAAAAGCTGTATGTTGCTGTAAGCGCGTGATAAATTCAAAATCCCAATTGCTTTAACTAGATATACTGACTAGTGACAACCGACCATAAATAAAAATATAAAGGCGATTTAGGATGGTGGAATTTATTTTCTTATGACATACAATTATTAAATTTAAACCATAAAACGTTTTAAGTTTGCATCCGAAGCTTAAAAATTATTTTATACCTAATTATTATTATTTTTTCCCAGAAATGTTGTGATCTTATTTTAGTCACTGACATTTTTATGTCGTTACATTAAATTATTTACTTTTTAACGTATCAAATAATAATAAAGCTATTATAGAATAATTATCACGAAAAGTGAGTGCGGTGTTCATACAGCTGTCTGTAACACATGTGGTCGAATATTAAGAGATAACGACAACGATAATTGTTTTTTAGCTCAACCCAGTCGGGAATTTTGTATCCCCGTATAGTTTACAAACCTTTTATAATGTTAATAAAACCGACATCGACTGCACATTAATTAATAAATATGTTTTGTTACACACTTACGTATACGTTTGCATATATATATATCGATAACCGCTTAACTCCATTGCATATTGGTTGTTTGGAAACACGTTTTACCTGGTTCAAATTCTTAACTGCAAGCAAACAC